CAGCAGGACGCTGACCCAATGCAGAGGGTGTGCGTGCAATACTGGGAAGTAAAGTCTGGATGAACAAATGGGGCGCAATCCCGACAGCAGAGAGGGAGGATGGGGGGGATGGAGGGCTTAGGGAGGAACCTATTGAAACCCGTTAGCATTTGGGCATACTGCAGGACTGCTCTATAAGGAAAACTTGAGAGCAAGATCGATGACTGGCTGTGCACACAATCGATCCTCTTCCCTTGGAAGAGATGGGGAGCAGTCAAGTACTGTCTCGGGTTGCTGTAGCACTTGCCTTGGATGCGAGCTACCTAGGGGACAGCTTGTGCCTGTGCTAAGCTTTCTGGCAGCTGGGCCGTTGCTTCCAGCTGCTGGAGATGATTACTCTTTAATGTGCTGCCTGCATTTCGGGAGCCTGCAGGCGTGCACAACAGCAGTGCAGAGGTGGGAAGAACTCGCTCTGACGGAGAGCTGTAGGCCAAAAAGAGAGAGTCGGAGGCATCCGAAACAGGCCAGGAGGAAGCCGCGGGTCAGGCTGAGGAGTCTGCCGCGTGCTGCAGATACCGACTGCCGACCAGCCCCAACTCACTTCAGCCCACTCTCGCTTGACCTGTATTTCAAGACTTTTGACATGCTGTTCATCGACCTTCACATTAACTTTGGGGCATGGCGAAGCTGCAGCTGATCTTGCAGGCAGCATTTTTGTAGTGCTTGACACACAGTGCATTGGTTTCCCAGCCTTTCTCTGGGGAAACTGAGGCAGGCAGAGTAAGTGACTCGTCCTATGTGACACACGGGGGACAGTTTAGGGGAGTTCTTGGCTCCAAGGCCTGAGCTTTTACAGCCAGATCCTGTGGCCTTGACGTTTTATGGTTCATCTTGTAAATGCTTCTGCACTGTCCTAGGAGGAAAGGATGAATTCAGAACGGTTTCCCCCACCCTAGGCCACCCGTTGTGTTGGCTGAACTGAACGAAGCATGACTCGCTCTCCTACTGCGATTGGGAAGGACCTGTGTCTAAACCAAGTTCAGCGCGCTCCTAGCCATGCCCTTCTCATAGCTGGTCTGTCTTAGGTTGCAATGCTGTCTAAACTTGAGCTAAAAACACCAGCCACCTTAACCGGATTCTTAAGCTGAGCAAACCGAGACCGGTTTTATCCCGTGTGGCGCCAACACGGTCTGGTGCAGGAGGAGTCGGGGCCAGGACTCCTCTTAGAGCTACATCTCGGGTGTCTGACTTCAGCTGTCAGGCCAGTCGTCTTCTGGAGCCCGGCTCTGAAAGAGGACAGTGCAGGGTGCAGCTTAAAAGAAATTGGACTGGGCTTTTCCATGATGGAAAGGAGTCAGTGTTGTAGCACAGGGGTTAGAGAGCTGAAAGCACCAGTTTTCCCTGCCTCCCCAGGCGGTGACCTCAAGGAAATGAAACTGGAGAAGGTCCAACTCTAGGTCTTCCCGGCATGATACGGCACGTTCTCGGGTATGTAGAGCCCGTGGGGACGCACCCGCAACAATCCCTTTGGCGCTCTGAATTAGCAAAGTGAAACAGCTGCCTCCTGTGAGGAATGATGCACGCTAATACAAGATGGTAATGCACAGCCATACCCGACATACGGGCCGGCACTGAACACAGTAGAGATAAAGAGCACAGTTTTTCATGGTAGAAATGCAAGAGCTTATTTAAAAGACTTCAGAGAATGGCTTCTTACCCAGTACCAGCAGCTCCAGGTCAGTGAAACAGTGATACTGGTCAAATAAGCACAGATGTATTGTAATAACCGTATTTACTCACCTCTAAGATGACCCTGGATTTAAGATGACCTCCCCCAATAATTAGAAACTATATCTGAGAGATTTATACGTTTGTTATAATTTGTTGTGTATAGGATCTAATTATTGGAGGGTCGTCTTTTAATTCATTCCCCCACCCCCCGCCCCCCCCTGCTGCAGGGTGGCTGGGGAGGTCAAGCAGCTTGCCCCCTGCTTATGCCTGCCACCTCTAACCTGGGGCACTGAGCCCGGTCCCAGCCCAGCCCCTATAGCAGCTGTGCAGGCTGCGTGGCACTGCTACTGGGCCATGCTCACCGCGCCAGGCTGCAGCGTGGATGGAGCTTGCTGGGGTAGAGCAAGGGTAAGGTGGGGTGGGGGGAAAAGGGGCAGGTGGGGGAGCAGAGGCCGATGGGGGGTGGAGATGGCTGGGTGCAGAGGCGGCACCCCCCACTCCACACCGTCATACCAGACTCAGAGGGGCTTGTCTTAGAAAACCTCGTCTTAGAATCAAGTAAATTTGGTAACGGCCCTATTGAGAAAGCAGGGTACAATGCAGCAATCACCCCGGCACGTTCAAAACAGGGCACGGCATCTCCTGTGTTACTGGGCCGCGTCGTACTGTACCGTCTTCCTTGGTTATGCGTACTTGTGCAACAGCCAGGACCCTCCAGTCCCGGAGCAGGACCCCGCTGCGTCGTGTGACGTGTGTGCACGGACCAAAGCAAAGTCCCTGCCACCAAGATTGTCCCATCTAGGTAGCAGGAGGATGCAGGGGACCAACGGGACAATGATGAGGCGGTTGTGGTCAGCGTACCAGATGGTTGTGTCGGCACACCAGCAGTCAGCAAGCTGTTGGGGCACCAGGGACCAGTTTTGCACACTGCCGGGGAAGGAGGAATCCTGCAGCGTTTTCTCACATGTGTAATATTTTTGAGCTGTTCCCTTTGGACGGCCAGTTGGAGCGTTAACAATCTCCCGAGTGTGTTTGCTTCTCTGGCACCACCACCATGGCTCTCTGCATAGCCCGAGTGTTTTTCAGAGGGAGTAGGCTTCATTCTGCTTACCGATTAGCTCTTTTGAAAAATCTCAGTGGTCAGCAATGGAGAGTTGGCTGACGGATGGAGGAGCATATTGCCAGAGACGTGGCAGCACTTGGCAGCTGAGCCAGGCGTCTCGGAGCAGGGTTGGTGCCAGTTGTTGGTGGGGAGGAGTTTTTCACGTTAAGAAAACCTGGAGGCAGGGTTGTTTGCAAACCCATGTTACCTCTTGTTCATTGTTAGTAATGAGATGTAATAAGCTGACTCGGTCATTAGCCACCTGTGCTTGGATGATTAGAGCCCAGTCATTTGTATTAAACCTAGGTCGCGTTAAACTCTCCAATTTGGATTAACGTTTCAGATTAATATATCGAGGCACTTGGTTACTTACCACTTAAACTCTTGCAACCTCGAAGCTTGTGACCGGCCCAGATTCTCACTGATCTGTGCATGGTTACTCAGCACAAACTGCTGGACCTGAAAAGGGCACGGGATGGGTTTGCACAGCGCAGAGCACTTGCTGTTTTCTTACTGCTCTCTCCCTGCCCTTGCCTAGGTAAGGAAAAGCAGCAAAAGCCAGCTCTGCTCTCTGCACCAAGTGGCATCAGGGTTGAGGGTGTCAAGGTGGCAGCATTACGGTATCTTTGTCTTGTGCGGGCATTTTCCCAGCATCTTTCCATTAGGGTCGCAAGCAAAGTGGAAGCCATTCCCATAGAAGTGCGTTCTGCACAAAAGCACTGCCAGAGCCGAGATGGTGACCCGTCTGTGTCTAGGAAGAAAGGGTCTGAATCAGAATAGTGTCAAGCCATCCCCTGCGGGTAAAGGGCAGCTCACCAGAGCTGTCTCCTAGTGCCCGTTTCCTTGGGCTTCACCATGCCCCCACGCAGCAGCCACGCAAAATGTTTTTCCAGCAACTAACTGCATTATTTCTCCAACTCTGCTCCTCTTTCAGATTTGCGCCGTTTGCCTGGAGGAATTCAAGCCCAAAGACGAGCTGGGAATCTGTCCGTGTAAACATGCCTTCCACAGAAAGTAAGTGCTGAGCTACCGATCAGTGTAGAAGATCAAAGTGTATTTACAAAAGCCTTGCAAGTCTCTTGGAAACCCTGGAAGCACTAAGCAATTGACAGCTTCTGAATTACAAAGGCTTATATTGTATACACTTGTCTGTCCCGGGTTTGAAAGGATTAGCAGAACTCTACTCCTCTTTAGTCAGTCTGATTTATGGCATTAAGTTGAGCGGCAGTTGCTAAACCACGCCGTAATGAGGGGGTGAGGAGGGCTGCCTTGTGACGCTGCCCTGCACCGAATGCCATCATCGGTGCCCCTGCATTTGGAGGTTTAGGTTCTAGATTGGCTTTGGCAGCTCCGTGCGTACGTGCAGCTCTGTGCCGTTAGCCGTGCAAAGGCTGCAGTGGGCTGGACAGACGAGTCCCTGGGACTGGCTGCGGTGTCGAGATGCATGGCCGGAGGAGGGTTGTTAATGCCGGACTCCAGCAAGCGAGCCTTCCAGGGGAGCTGGAACGGAAGCAGGGCGCTTGGCAGGCGTGAATGCGAGGCTTTTCAAACCATATGGGGAGCATGAAGTGCAGAAACAAAGGGAGCTTTCAAGAGCAGCCTGGGTACGAGGGAGGAGGCAGAGGTGAGAGCAGAGGTGCGCGGAGCTGTGCGAATGACCCGTGGAGGGAGCCCGGCCGCAGGGGAGGTGGGACCAGAATGGCTGCAAAAACGAGCCCGCTTGGCAGTAACCTTTTGGGCAGGCCAGAGTGGGGAGTGGATGGTCCGGGGGGGCCACAGCGGAGGCGGCCTCAGTGTAAGCAGATGGAGAGACCAAATGGTGGGGGTGGGGGCACCAGCCACTTGCATGGAAAGTAGCCGAAGTCTGTATTCAGTGTCAAGGCAACTTATCTTGCAGGGGAGAGGGCAGGGTTGGTTGGCCGGCTGCCAAGCCCTGTTTCAGTCACCTTCACCTCTCCCCGGGCTGGAGCCAGGCCAGCAAGCTCTCAAAAGCCACTGGACTGCGACGCCCCAGTAGTGGTGACCACAGGTTCCTCCCACACGAGCGTGCTGCATCGCACCACCATCGATGCGTGTCGGTGTCAACAAGCACATTCCCCGGCCCTGCTGGCAGCCCTGCCGAGCGGCTCCGCGTGCTGACTCGGCTCCCAAAACGCCTGCGAGCTCCGGACCTGCCCCCTATGTTTCCTCCTCTCCTGCAGCAGGAGCGCGCTCCCTGCCCAGGCAGAGACAGTCTTCATTGCAACTCAAATGTGGGTGTAATGGAGTCGAGACCTTCCTCCCTCCACCTGAACTATTCTCCATGCCGAGGTGTTCAGCATACAGCTTTGCAGGGACAGTGGTTTTAGCTTCAGACTCCTGTTTCGTTGGGCCTGTTCTTCACAAGAGAGCAGTGCCGCAGAAGCGGGAGAGTCCCCGGAGAGGTTCCTAGTGGCATTGTCATCGTCCTTCATCACACAGAGGTGGCTTGAGGGACAGTTCCTTTGTAGCACGTAACATTTTCTGCATCCACCAGTTTTGCTAACAATAGCGGGAAGGGAAAGGTATTTAAAAGTTCTTTGGCGAGAGCTTTTACAACCCATTCCAGTAATGAGATTACGTAACTTTAAAAAAAAATGATTTTCCTACCATAAAAACGCCTGTTTGTATGAAACTGCCTGAAAAGCAATGCAAAGCGAGGCTTTCGGATGAACTAAAAAAATGCGCCCCATCAGCCAAAAATGGAGAAAGCGTGATCCGATGGGTAAAGAGGAGAGGGGAAGCCAGGGGTCCGCTCCCAGCTCTGTGTGACCTTGCAGGTCACCTCTGCACTTCTTTCGCTTTCAGGGGCGGCATTAAGGGGATCTGATGCTCTGGAAGGGCTGGGGCATCCTCAAAGGAAAGGTGCATTGAAGCACACGGCCAAGTACGGTATAAATGACCTCCGCCCTCTTTCCTTCTTCCTCCCCAGGTGCCTCATCAAGTGGTTGGAGGTGCGAAAAGTGTGCCCGCTTTGCAACATGCCCGTGCTCCAGCTGGCGCAGCTCCACAGTAAGCAGGACCACGGGCCGCCCCAAGGCCCCCTGCCCGGGGCGGAGAACATTGTATAGCTTTCCCCAAGAAACAGACTTGCCCATCATGACCGATACTGCCAGGGTAACAACAACGGACCTATGCAGAGAATCGTGGACCTCGGGATCCGTAGCTTACCGCCTCGGTGCCTCTGCTAGGATTCCCTTCGTCTCATGAGGGCCTCCCAACACGCACTTCGGGGGGTGGGGCCAGATGCTGGGACTCGAACAACCAAAGCACTACACCACTGGCGCAAAAAGACGCCAGAAGGCAGCGGCAGGCCGGTGTGGGTGGGTTTCTGAGAGCACTTTATGACCATCCCCGTCGCCTGGATGACCCGCCTAGGCCGGGTCCCTGTTTCCAGCGAGCTGAATCCGCAGCGGACGGAGCAGAAGGGATCGCGTTACAAATGCAACGGGAGAACTCAAGAGGCAGAGTCCCTGGCGGCACGGGCCCGGGAGCCTCGAATGGCAGATTCAATACAGGCCACGCACGCCTTCTCCTCTCGCATGGGGAAAAGTAAATGCACACGCTTCACGAGCCCCTTGGAAACGCACCTCTCCGCAGCCAAACCCAACCGGCGGTTACCTCGTGCTGAACTGCCGGCGGCTGGCCAAGCGAGCAATGCCAAGGCAAAGGTTTTACATCGTTCCTGTAATGAGATTTTCCCTGAGTCATGGACTTAAGCAGGACCTCTGACATTGTCCTATAAGCCCGGGGCGGGGGAAGTGGTGCCATCTGCCAAGAGCCTCGGAGGGGGTTTAACTGCACCACCCCGGGCTAACAAAGTCTGAGAGGGGGCTTTGCAAGCTTTGGGTTGGATATGTCGCATCAAAGAACTGAGTGTGAGGTGCAGGCGTGGCTGGATTTGAGGTGTTGGCCAGCTAAAGATCTGGAGCCTTCGGTTTTGGAGATCAACACGTATGTGCCCGTGGATTGGATCTGCTCTTGAACTGCCCCCGGGGGTGGGGAGTCCCTCATCCCTCCTCCCAAGCGGTGGCATGGTGGTAGTAGGGGTTGTGTTGCATTGTGCAAAGTGCTAGGAAGCCAGCTTGGGGTACAAGCACTTACTGCTCCCTACATAGCACCTGCATGCATGTCCTCGTCCCCCTGCAGTACAAAGCCCGAACATGCCTGAGTCCCTGCACTTGTATGAACGCTCCTGCCCTTTGCGTCCGAGCGGGCTGAGCTGGTTGCCGTTACAGCATTGCCTTCTCTGGTCTCTGTGCTCAGCCAGCTAAACCTGAGCAGCTGAGACCGGGGGGTGAGCACGCCCAGCTCCGGTCAGTTCAGCAGAGCTCCTGCCTCCTGCCCTCGGGCTGATTCTGCCCTTCGCTGTCCCGCGTCCGCCGAAGCGCGGAGCAGTGCCGTCATCCCGGGGTGCAGCGCGGTGGGTGTTTAGCTGGAGCGTGTTTGAGCAGGGTGGGGTTACGGTTCCCAGACCCATTTTCAGCATGGCTCAGTCTGTAGGCTAGTGCGATTCCTCGCTGCGCCTGTCGGGAGCAGCCAAGACGCAGATGGACCAGAGGGACAATTCTTCTTAGGGATGTAGCCAGCCACTACGTTACACATGCATTTGACTTGTCCCCTTGTCTGTCATGGGACAGCTCTTTCTCCTCCTTTCTCACCCTTATGCGCTGGCATCCTGCTGTCCCGTGGCTGTATCAGGGTGTTACCGCTGTTCCCATTCAGGACCAGCGTTCTGGCCCTGTAACAGTGCTTTTAGGCTCCATGACTCCCCCCCACCCCAATCTGTTGCCTTTTGCGACCGCACTGAACTACCCAGAGCCTTTCAGGCTTGTGCACGTTGCCTCGGCCTTTCTAATCTGGTACCGTGGTGATGTGTCAGAGCAGAAGAGGCATCGTGATGCTTGTCCTGGGGCTCCTGCTGAGGCTATGTCCTCGAGAGCAGCAGGGCAGGCCGGGGCTACAGCTTCCTTTCCGCCGTTGGCAGCTTGGCAGTACAACTGTGCCTGGAAAGAGCTTGCCTGGAGTCTGAGCCAGGCACGGTCGGTGAAGACCCTGGCCCACACCCCATTGCACTCACTGATCTGCCTCAAGCTCTGATCTTCCCATCTAGCATACACGGTCCCAACGTGCCTGTGAAATAAGGGACGTCTGTAGAGACCTGAATAGCAAACCTCCGGGATGCTGTACCCAGTCCTACTGCCAGCGGGAAGTTTTCACCATCGATTTTTTTTGTTTGTTTGTGGGATCCGGTTCAGACCATCTTTGCCGGGCGGTGCAGACAGGCCCGATGATCCTTCCAGTCTGCTTTTGTTTTGTTTTCCCGCTGCTGCTTTCCTTTCCTTTCTATTGAGTCCTTCACAAAAATCCACCTCCCCTGGCGCGAGACAATTGGGTATCTGCAAAACATGACCCCCAGCAAACCCGCAGTGTGATAGGGAGGTTTGTGTTTGAACAATTAATCGCGTAAATATTGACCCAGGCTGAGTCAGCAAGCCTCCCTGGACTCACCTGACCAAGGCTGGGTTTCGGTTTGATTTCCAGTACAGCTGCCTTTTGTGTTCCTGTTTCATTCACGAAGAAAGCATGTGATCCCCTTACTGTCGCATGTTAGGGACGGCACCAAAGGGGCAGCGGTGTTCCCCTGACGACTGGGAAAAGTCTCCAAACTCCTCTGAATGTTTCAGGCCGTTAGCACCGCAGGCTCTTCCTCGTCATAGTGGAAGTGGCTCGTAGACCGGGCCCTGACGGCACCTAGGGGGAGTGTGACCAAGGGCTGCTCAAGAGTTGATGCATCTCCATGTGTGTGGCTGAATTGGGAAGCGACCATGAATTGTGTAGGGCTTCCTGGTCCATCAAAGGTCCCAGCTCCCCGAGGAGAGGACTTGCAGCTGGAGGTGTGTGCCAGCAGTTTGCTGGGTCAGCGCTCAACGATCCTTTAGTGGCTTCGTTGGTCAGTAATAGCGGGGATTCAGCTCCACGTTGGGATGGGAATCTGCTCTGGCTCTGCAGTGTGAAAGTCAAGGCCACCTGTTGCCTCTTTGGAGTGGCCTCTGACGTGGTGACTCCTCTCCCTTTGCATCAAATCTCCATGTCCCCAGCCTCTCTGTCTGAGCAAGAAGACTAGATTGAATGGTCCCGGTAGGCACCTGTGCTCTCACCCCCTTCTTAAAACAAAAGCCCCAGTCATACGACGGCATGCTGGTTTTCAGGAGCACCGTCTGCTCTGAGCACGTGGCATTTCATCTCCAGGGTGAAACATTTATTTTTTCCCTAAATCCCCTGGAACGAAAATTTAGGAATAAACTCTTCCAGTTCTGCGTGCAACATCAAGCTACAAGTAAACGTCAGGCGATCCGATATGGCAGCCAAATCCTGCGGTATGCCTAAAACCCAAGGGGGGGCTTTCATACCCTCCCGCAGGGTTGGATGGAGCTGGTGTCACTTGAAATGTCCCTTGGATCGAGCAGTGGGATTTGTGGCACGTGCGTGCGCTGTTCGTTGGTTTAACGAGCACGTATGCTCCGACTGCTGCTTTATCCCCTTGACTTCACCAAAATATTCACCTCCCACTCCTGTCTCCACCATCTGCTTTCTCGGAGGAGCGAGGGGTCTTTTTGCTTTCTTTCGAAGGGCTGTTGCAGAAACTGAGACGTCATCCTTCCCCTTTGTAATCCGTGTATAGCCATCGAGACTTCACTCAGGTTGGACTTGCTGAGTTTTATTAAGGTAGTTTGACAGTCCCACTCTGCAGCCTCTCTAACTGGCACAACGCACCGTGTCGTTCTGGTATCCGCAGAGCAAGCGACTACCTCAAGCGGACCGTTTCATCTCTTCAGCAGCGGCGGTGCTGAGCATGCTGCTGTTTTACACCTCCCTCCGGGAACGTGCGGGCGCGCTGCATTCTCTCCAGTTGGCAAAACCGATTATTTTTCGGAGCATTCGGCAGTATCCGTGCCTGGCTTTGGTCCAGTCCGCGTGAACGGGTGGCCTGAGTATGTCAATGATTGGATCCAGCAGGAGTGGATCTCAGTACATTTGAGACATCATCTTGAGATGCT